TTTCAGACATTTTGAGCATTTCAAAGTTTAGTTCCTTGTTTCTCCACTCGTTTGTTTTGATTGTACAAGTCTTTTCCCCCCTACTACACTCACTATAAATACTCAACTCTCAGATACTAGCTTGATGTGAAAACACGTGCTAGAATATGTCCAGCCATTTTAAATCTCTAGTGTCTGGTCATTTGTGTAGACAATGAGCTGGAAATATAAAACAATTCGTTATGACCCATGAAATATTAAACCTGATTAGCAAGAAAGGCAGTAAGAGTTGGGAATTTTGATAACACGATAACAAAGAGACCACGCATGTACACCACTTCCTATGGCACGCCTAAGAACCACACCATTTAGTATGACTACTAAGGCAAAACTTCTCGACAACGTACCCTAAAGATGATTGCCAAGATTTATATAGCGGCAAGGGTGCAAGAAAACCACGGAAGACACTTTAAGACAGCATGGATGACTTGTAGGAAATTTATCAACAAATCACATGCCAAATGCTCTGCCAATAAGACATCCATTTCTGCTTGTGTCAGACACCTTTCCAAATAGACCATCCACCTTCATTCACTTTGAGTGCAGAAATGAAGAAACACACTACATTATGTAGCAGCAACGGTGCAAGACCAGTGGATAAATAAATGATCATCCAACTCTCGTATGAACGAGAATGCAAAACTGTATAAAACAACAAATACAAATAGTAGAAGCAATGCTTAGCTATAGATTGCATTAATATCATCATACCTCCAAAGTAATCACAGCATCAAACTCCCTCTGTTCTTCAACCAGTTTTTCTGTCCACATAAGGGTATTTGTATGAGCTTCAGAATAATGGATGATAAACTTGGAGTTAAACTTGCAAGAGGCTTTGTATTGAAGAAATGAAAAAATCTTATGTCCTCAAACAATTGTCAAAAATCAGAACCAAGAAATTGCTAATCTATGTTACCAATGATTCAAATGTATGATAATTGCGCTGTATCCAATCCGCAGAAAATAGTGTGCAGAAGATAAAACTATCAATCATAAATGCTATTTCCCCTCTCAAATGATTGAGAAATACACTTGTTGTAGTATAGTATACAAATAAAGGCTTATGGCAAGAGGTGTAATTTTTGTCCTTGTCTTGGTGGTTTTGATGTCCTAGCTCAGCTTAAAGGAAAATTTAAACCCCAAGGAGTAGCTCAAATGGTAAAAAGAACGAGTTGTAAACTCAAAACGTCTGAGTTCAAATCTTTGCAACCACTTGGGACCAGGCCATGAAAGATTTATCCCTCATAAATATCCTAGTCCCGGTATAGATGGTCTGCTTTTGACCAAAACGGGGAGGGGATTAGTCGAGATGCATGTAAACAGGCCTGGGCACCCCCTGACCGTTGAACCCAAAAAAAAAAAAAAAAAATTAAACCACCACGGTTGATATTTAATCCAATAGAATTTTTTCATTTTTTTATGCAGTCAAAATATTTTAAATTAGAACCTGAGAAAGGAACCCAGACAGTTATTTAACGTGAGCCAGTCCACACATCCTAAAGGAACTCAAAACAACATCTTGCAACGCTCAACTCCACCCTAACAGAGGTTTTACTTTCAAAATTTTTAGAATGTACCATACACGCAGAAATTTCAGATAGTCCAAAGGATGCAAAAACAAATATTAAACACACAAGAGGGAGGTTAATTAGACATGCAGGAGTAGATAATCCATCAAAGTTTCAAACACTAATATTACGCAGAAAACAAATAATTATGTCACGTACCAGCTGTTGTGCAACGGTAGCTGATGGATGAAGTTACTGGATCCAAATCCTGGGCATGTTAGAAATGTTTATAAATATCCACATCGAAGTCCGAAACAAGATCTAAGGAATATCAATAATCAACTGCTCACAGAGAAATCTTGAATTATTATGGCAGCATGGGTCCAATATATTCTGTATGCATAGAAAATACTTGAAAAAAAGGTGAATGAGAAAAACAGCTGTATCAGGCTATCAGCCCATAAATCATTAACTCACAGAGAAATATATTAATATATGAGTCCTCGAAAAGGACATAATTTCAAGGATGCCCTTATGATTTCAAGAACTTGGTTGCATTGTGAACAAGTAAAAGGGTGCATGTTTCAGCGGCTTTTGTCATAGCTTGTCCGCTTTCAATGAAGATCAGGAAGCAAATGGTCAAGGGTATTAAGGGCCGGTGGCAGGACCGAATAGGGTAAAGATTTCTGATGTGGACGTCTTCTACACAAAAAGGTTTGTCAATAAACATTTTAAATTTGAAACCAAAAAGAGAAAGCATGTTTATAAGATCGTTCACAGCATACTACTGATTACAACACCTTACATATAATAAATTCAACATAAGGTATGGCAACAATATGCATGTCATGTACTCCTGATTTTTTAGTACAATTTGGATTTGGAAGCTTCAATCCTTGATACATCTCTTAGCCACATTCTGCAACATCAACAATCCAAAGAACAGGACCACGACTAAATTTGAATTCGCCAAATATTACGTCAACTTGACCGAAACAGAAATAATAGCACTCAACTATTTACAACATTCTTAAATTTTTCTATCTGTTGATAACATGGACTCCCTGAGAGGCCAACCTTTCCTAAATTATGATAGATTGATATCTTATAAATACCACAAATATATGATCTACTATTTGCAACCAACTTGTCAGATAGCAATCCCAGAAAGAAGTCCTTTCTGCTATTCAGATTTTGTGGTCTGCAAAATAGAAAGATTGCTTTCTCTATATTACTTTTTTAATACTGTATTTACGCCAATGTAGAAATTACTTTATAAAAAAGACGTCATTTTTATGATTTCACCAATTAAATTTTAAACTATGACAGCAATTATTATTCTCACAGAAATGTTTCCTTCCCTCCCTCCCACTTGCACACACACATCAAAAGACACATGTTCCTTACAATTATCTTTCATACGATTTTGCCAATATTCACTCCTAAATAAACATATGATTCGCATAAAAAGATACTAACAAATCATGTACGATTGTAAAATATTATATTGTAATCATGTATACTTTCATACATATGAATAAAGTATTGGTTAGTTTCTCACGAGATGAAGGGTATCCTTCAGATTAGTAGCTAGGTTTCCCCGCTAATGCGGTCCATAAGATGCGCAAAGCAATACAAATTCAAAGACATGACAAACTATAGAATAGGGCTTGCTATATTCAAGACAGAAACTCACATGGAACCTTATGTAATCGTATTTGAATTCTATTTTTCAATAACTTTGAGTTAGCTTGCTGATATTTTTGGTGTTATGTTGTGTCTTTCTTATGAATTGTAGAATCCAGCATATTTTTGAAATCTCTAAATTTGCTAGAACGGATCATAGTATGGCCCATGGATCGTGTTTTGGGTCGAATTGTAGTGTTAGATGTTTCTAGAGTCTAGAATCTTAGTTATAGGCTATGTTAGTTTCCTATGCTATAAGTAATTTAGAGTCTTTGGAATCCTAGAGTTTTTGAAGTCCTCATCTTTTTAGGATTAGGAAACACTTGGAGGTGTATATATAGAGATATAATCGTTAAATTTTATAGAGAGATATTTTTTGAAAAATTTTCAGCAATTATAGGCTTTGAGGATTGTGTGATGCAATTCAAACCCCAGGTGTGATGCCTAAGGAATACTAGGAGTGATTAGTCAAACTTATTATTCATGTTACTCTACACAACATTTTTACAGTTCACGTGTACTATTCACAGCCTCAGAAACAGTGCTAGTTTTGTCAGTGCTAGTTTTGTTGGCTACTGCTATCCTACATCAGTTTTGGTACAAAAGTGAAAGATCATATGTTCTATGGGTTAAATATTGACATATGACAATGGGAATTCCAAATTTTGAAGGGAGGGATGACCCTACAATGGAAGACCATTGGCTTGCTTCTATTGAGGAGTATTTTCTTAGGCATAATATGTCAGATGATCGGAGAGTGAGATTTGCCGAGATGAATGTTGTAGCCTTGGCCAAAATTACTTTAAAGAGAAGTATCTGCCCTCAAATTATCATGGAAAGTTGTGCAAACAAGTTACTAATCTACTACAACGCAACGTATCAGTAATGGAGTATATTCAAAGATCTAACGTGGCGAAATCGAACAATAGAGGATCCGTTTCAAAAAATTACTCGATTCAAAGCTGACTTAAGGATTGATACAAGGGAAGAATTGCTTCAGTAGCCACTATATAGCATGGTGCATGCATTCCAAGTAGCACTTGGTTCAAAGATGTTCCTAAATTTCCTTAATCAAGTAAATCTCAATGCATTCTCATAAGGAACCGAGTAAGGTTCATAAAAAATAACTCAATGCAACAAACGATCCAATAATTTGGGATGAAGTAGATCGAGTGGAAGAATCAATACAAGCCCAAGCAATTTTGCTACCTACTTGTCCCAAGGCGAAGGCAAAGAGTGAACATCAGGGATATTCCTACACTAGAATCTAAGAAGATGGAGGAAGTACCAACTAGTTATGAATCCACTTTGCCTTTAGAGGTGACTAAGTTATTTACTAAGTGCTCCAAAATAGTGCCAAAACAGTAGTCTAATGAAATTTCTCCCATTGATAACCTTTAATCAACAACATCGGCATCTCAAGGGCATGATTTGTTTGCATCTTCCAAAGATCTAAGTGAGCATGAAGAATCACCAATGCTTCTTTCTATTCACTTTGCTTCACCAATTGAATTTATCATTCTAAAGAAGTTTGATGACATGATCAACAAATTTTATTTTTTTTTGTCAGCACAATCAGCAAGTTCAATCACCAAATCTATGCTTTATTTCCTCAATTCAACAAGAAAATGAGGCTTCATCTCAAGACTTTTCAAACACAAGGGGGATCATCTCAACTTTTATTATATGCTTTGAGGATTGTGTTCAAACCCTAGGTATGATGTCTAAGGAACCTATGAGTGATTCCTAGTCAAAATTATTGTTCACCGTGCTTCCTCGATAAGGGTAGAATACGCCCTATGGTCGATTGAAGGACCTGTGCCACTTGAACTCAAATCTATCTTACCTTCAATCCATCTTTGTCCATCCAACTCATAACAAAATGTTAGACCAATCTCAGGGTTAACACAACCGAATTGGTTGTGGAAAATGAAACCCCTAAGACCAAGCACTCCCACTCCCAAAAAAGCGAAGACCGAAGAACCGCCAAGTTGTCGAGGACACGTCTGAAGAGGGGGCAGGCGCCTTCTAAGTCCATTCATTAGGGTTGGAGATGGATGAAACCAATCAAAAAAAAAATTGCACAAGCAAAGCCGGTAAAGGGACAGCAACACAACGACTAGGACTCTTAACAGATGGTTGATTCACACGAGCTGTAGAAAGACCATATCCTGACATCAAGCATATTATTGAAGCCCAAACATATTTCTAATGCTAGGACAGCTGGTAACTCATGTCTACTTCTCTTTCTGTAACAACTCATTATGCAACAAGCACATCGGCATAAATACCATTTTCCTTTTATGAAAATATCCCAGCTAACACAACGAAAGACCATCTTTTTGGCATCAATCATCAAATCAGGCAAAGATTCATGCACACCCCTAGAAATAGTAAATGGTCGTTCTTCAACTGCTTCCTCCTTTGATGCTTTATGTTGAACGAGCTAAGTTCCAAACCCAAATAATTGGCAAAAATGCCTTGCCCAATCATCACTAATGGAAATGGATGCCTTGTCTAGGTTTGGAACCCTCCCTCAAAGCCTTTTCCGCAAGTCCCATATATGAAAACATAAGTGCCACAACTTCTTCTCAAGTAAGGACTGAATTCTCTCTCACACCCTATACTATAGCAGCTTGCCTCCCCGTGGATATCTTAATGGATTAAGATGTGCAATTCCTTCTTGAAAAATGGGCATATTAATTCCTACCTTTACTAAGCTTTCAGTGTTTTATCCAAACCTCCCTCACAGTCTCTACATGTGGACTGATTATACTCCCAATCACCCCGAAATGAATTCTGCGACATCCCCACTGTTGAATCTAAAGCCTATGATTCCACTTGTAAACAAATCATTCGCTTTCAAACAGGGGATTTGCCCATTGCTCTTCCTAAGACCGGTAATCCCGCATTTATCGATTCACTTGGGCTTGGACCGATAATTCCATCAAAGCACCTTCAACCTTTCCGAATTTCGAATCTAGTCTCGACATCAATCCTCTTCGGGAATATCTTTCATATCTGGTGGGTAGCTTTTGAATCAGTGGCATTTTTCTTCTTTGTGAACAATCTCTTCCGGCTATGCACCTCCTTTCGTAGGAATCCATGTGATGTGCGCTTTAAATGATTTTTCATCAAATGACTATTCATCTATTGTATTTTCAACAAAACTCTATGAAAATATGTCGGTTCAATTCGATGTTGATTAATAAGGGATTAGAACGCGTGTGGGCTAAGTATATCAATGTAAATGAGTACGCCCAGGTTCTACCACTGCAGGGCCAAATTATACTCAAAAGAAGAGTTTGATCCTGACTTCAAACGAATGCTAATCATATACTTAACACATGCAAGTCAAACATACTGTTGTGGTAGAAAATAACAAAACTACCAAACAAGGTGTAACTACAACCAAAGCAAAACGACAATAGGAGACCAAGTTGAATTTTTTTTTTTTTCAAGTTGGATTAGAGCCTATCGTAGCTTGTTTTGACCTACATTTTAAATAAAGAAAATCCTAATGTGTCTTGCAAAGGAGCATTGGGTGCTTATGTTGTGCTTCCGCAGACCATGTTCTACAATCACTCTTTGAAAAGACTTTGATATTTTTATATTTTTGCGGCTTGATTGGCAAATGGTGAGAGTTAGCAATCTAACTTGGTCCTGCTATGCTCATTTTACTGTTCATGTGTCCTATTCACAACCTCATAACAGTGCTGGTTTTGTTGGCTGCCGCTGTCCTACATCACCCACCCATATCCGGAGATATTTTTTGGGTGTCAAAGATAGACCCAATTGTAAGGCTTTTGCTTGGTCTGTTGGTCCTAATCGAATGAACACTATCGATTTGTTGCAGATTCAAAGGCCCTATAAAGCTTTGAGCCTCATATTTGTCTTAATTATTTAAATAGTGGAGAATCAAGTGCTCGTTTGTTCATTCATTACGCTTTTGCATGGGGGTTGTGGTATAATTTATTCAAGCTAGTCGGGCATTGGATTGTGGCATTGCTTCAGTGTCAACCCATAGTTATTCATTATATTGGGTTTTTTATTTTTTTTGACGATATATCTTGACCTCCACGATATATCTTGTTTTTTTATTCCCTTTTCTAATAAAATTTCTTCTTTAATCAAAAAAAAAAAAAAAGATAGACCCAAAAAGACAACTCCACAAATCCAAGGGCTTGTTTTTTTCTTTAATTTAATAAACATGACAGGAAAATGTTGATGGAAGTGTTTAAAAAAAAAATGAGGCAACACGAGAAGACTCATTATACCTGTTTGTATATAGCCACAGAGACCCTTGTCTACTGTAATGCAACCATTACAAGATGCCTATATTTATGTCAAGAATGATGGAATTTATAGGGAACCTTCATATTCAATATTGAAGGCATAGGCCAAGTATCCAAAGGAAAGATATAGGATGACAATGAGAAACGATTGCATGACCTCTTTCACAGCAAACAATGATGAAATGTGATCACATTCGCTACACTTATGTCTTAGAAGCAAGAGCTTTTCATGAAAGCAAAGTATATGTAAATGCAAGATGCATGATTCCAAAATTATTGACATCAATGACAGACATCTGTAGATGCAGCAGATATTAGAATTCTCACTCATAAAAAATGGTAAGATGGGTATTTGGCCTTCAACTTTGAAGTTCGTGAATATAAAATGACTGGCAGACAAAGATTCTTATGCAATAGCCAGGGTAGATTTTTATACTGCAAAATTAAGGTGTGATAGATTTTTTTTTTTTTTTTAAAAAGGAGTGCAACACGAGGACTTCCCAAGGGCTCACCCATCCTAGTACTACTCTCGCCCAAGCACGCTTAACTGCGGAGTTCTGATGGGATCCAGTGCATTAGTGCTGGTATGATCGCACCCATGTGATAGATAAGCCTCTTTTTAGGGTTGGAATTCTGTCAATCACCAGAAAAAGATGCTTATTCTAGATTGACTTTCCTTTCTCCAGGGAGCTTCTTAGGATTGATTCTCATCCCGCAGAAGGATTTTGTAGACAGGAGGATAGTTATCTTGGAATCCCTTTCCTTGTTCTAATAGCTTACCAAATTGTTCTTGCCCGTTGCATAGGGGTTTCTGTGTCTTGACCAGGGTTGGCATGATGCACTTTATCCCCTTCAACTGTTCTACATCAGATATAACTTCTTCATCTTATCTCTTTCTTATAAAACAGAGGTTTTGTAATTTCTCCATATTTTCCATCAATAGCACTTCCTATTCCCTAGTGCATATGCACGAAGTCCAAAAAAAAAAAGACGGGGAAAAAGACGATGGCATTCATCCTTTCAGTATATGGGAAGAGATCTTACCGCATGAAGGCGTGCAATTTTAGTATTCTTTTCCACAGCATCGATCCCTGTTACAGTAGCTCCCATTCGAGCCAATGGCTGAAAAAAGGAAATGAGACAACAATCACTTCTTGCTGGATAATGTTGTTACCTATATGTGGTTTGTGTAAGCCAAACTGATATGCATCATCTTTATATTCACATGTGCATAATTCTCCAAAGCAAAACATGTAAAACACGCATCATAGTGTTGTTATAAGTTATTAAGAGTTTTCATAAATCTTGTTTCTCCATTGTGCTTATCAAGGGTCATATTTGTTAAATTATGAGCTACCATATTCTTTTTGACTACTTCATTCAGTGTTAATTTTGGCCCACCACTACCTCTTGCATTATTATGCATATATATTAAATCACTATTTCTCCCCAGTGCATACTAGGTCATCCATAAACATGTCCAAAACACTTAAGTTCATTCTTTCTTAATATATATATATATACACACACACACTAGCATAGTTATCAAAATCGTACGATTCAGTTCGATACAGGTACAAAGCAATATATATCTTATGTGAGAATCGTTTAGAGTTAAATCGTACAATTCGCATCGCATGAATAGAATGATTGATTCAATCACTTTTTTTAAAACCCAAATTTTTGCAAAATGACATCGTTTTGTCCGCTAAATAGTAGAACGAAGTTGTTTTGTTTGCAGAGGAACACACGAATAAAAACTAAACGTCTTTGCTCGTTGTCTCTGATATCGTCTAAAACTCGCTTTGCGTTGTAAAAAGCTAAAGGTCACGGCTAACGCTCTCACATCATCGATTAATTTTTGCTCTCAATTCTTTTATAGGTAGTTTATGTTCTAATTTTTTGTTTCAAAATGTTGATCTGTATGTTTTCTTCCAATTAATTTCCTTATTTGTTCTTTTTCCATTCATGTTTGTAACATAATCTATATTAGGTGTCCCTATTTTGGTTCTTAAATAGCCATGGTTCTTTAATAAAAAAAATTTTCAAGTTATTGAATTCTAAAATGGTTAAGAAAAAGATGAAAATGAAATAAAAGGCTAGCGTCTTTCCATATAGACAATGTGATTATATCAATTGATTATTTTTAGAATGCAATAATGTTCAATATTCAATATTATGTCTATTTTAAATATGTAGTATTAATTTTTAGTTTTGTTCAAATTTTGTGTCGAATCTTACGATTCACGATTCTCAAATTTAGGATTCCGATTCACGATACGAATCGCAATTTGACAACTATGCACACTAACAATAACCCCGTGCTAGAAAACACTCTACAATACCAAAAAGGAGCATTAGTCGTACACCATTTATATTTTAAACAGCATTTATTTTTCTTTAATTCCACAATTAAAAATTAAAGTGAACAGATAGAAAATAAGAGAGAGGTATGAGATAGAGAAGAGAGAAGTAGGTGTATATTAGCGGGGTCGTTTAGTATTGAGAAATGTGTTGATTTAATTGTCTAACATTGGGACTGTCCAGAGAAAATGATATTTTTGAGCGAAAAAAAAACTTTAGGATGAATTTTATACAATTGGATCAAGTAGATAAAAATTGGATAAATCTTGACAACTTTTGTGCTGTTATAAGTGGAGAATTCAACTTACAAGCTATAAAGCCTATAATATTAGATATATATATATATATATATAAAACCTACTTAGGGTCAACTTTATTCAAGA